TTCACCCATTGTACCCATAGATTGTCTGCTTTCTTTGCTATGTTCCAAACGTATTTAGCAATGGCTGCTTGGTTCCACACCTCACATTCAATGATCCCAAGTCCCCCTTCTATTTTAGGCCTGCATATAAGATCCCAAGCTACTATGGAACTCTATTCGTGTTCACTTTGCCATCCGATAAAAAGTTTCTGCAGATGGCTGTAATGCTCTTTAGGATCTTCTTAGGGAGTATAAAGATAGAGGACCAGCAGGCGTGGATATGCATTAGTACTGAATTAATTAATAGAACCCTCCCTGCATAAGATAGGTTCCTAGAACCCCAACTTTTTATTCTAGCACACATCTTATCCACCAGCATTTCACAATCCACAACCGATATTTTCTTTGCTGAAATTGGCACCCCCAAATATCTAAAAGGCAGAACACCTCTCTTGTAGCCAGTTATTTCATATAGATCATTCACTTCTTGTTGATTCATGTTTGAATTATATATGTTAGACTTAGAAGCATTAGTATGCAGCCCTGAAGCTACTGAAAAAGTAGCCAGTCCCCTTAACATCAACAGCACAAATTGCACCTCCCCTTTGCAGAATATTAATACATCATCAACAAAACAAAGATGATTCAGCTTCAACCCTCTAAATTTTGTGTGATATTCAAATCCCTGCATTGTAGTTACATGTTACATGATCCTTGTAAAATATTCCATGCATATGACAAAAATTAGAGGTGAGATGGGGTCTCCTTGCCTTAACCCTCTTTTCCCTTCAATGTTGCCATATACCCCTCCATTTATTGCTATAGAATACCTTGTAGTTGTTATGCAGTGCATTATCCATTGGATGAACTTGCTAGGGAAGTTTAAAGCATACAGTATCTCCTGTACAAAGTCCCATTCCACAGTATTATAAGCCTTTCTCAAGTCAATCTTTATTAGGCAGCTTTTGACAGATGCTTTCCTGTTGTACAACCTATTAGAACTGTTAGGTTGCACTAATACTAACAGAGACACGGGCTGTAATATGTCCAAACCATTATAAAGCTTTTTTCTTCTCGCACGCTGTCTGGTACGCGTTTGAGGTTTCGATTAATTCTAATACCCGCCGCATAAATTAATGTCCACTAAAGGGTGAAGCGCTCTCTGAAAGAATATTTTTATTCTCAAGGCTCGAAACTAAAACCTCTAGTTAAGGATAAAAGAACTATACCATTCCACCACGACCTCTCTAGGTTTCACTAAAATTATTACCAGCTAGTGCATTTACTTAAACTTAACACTGCTCGTGACGTTTTTTGTATCCAACGTAGAATAAAGGATTATTGGAAAATATAATTTTCCTTTCATCATATTGGGAAACCTTTGCAGTGAGGAAAAGGTGAAATTGGGTCATTTTCGAATATCTGAATCATGAATAAATTAGCATTAATTTTAAACTATCTGGCTCAATTATTTGTTTTATGCACAAGAAATTTTCAAATGGAAAAAAAGTAGCGGAACAAATATAAAAGAAAACTTATAATAATAAGAAGAAGGAAAACCTTAATTACTATGGCGGCTAAAACTGAAAAAACAACTGCATATCACATAAACATCCTTCATTTTTTGTGGCCCATGTACTTATTACCATATACATATGTAGCTTAATATATCATAGTCAAGACATAGATGAAGCAAAGAAATTATGCCCAAAATGGCCTTCATCACCAATTAAACAAGCATAGAGCTCCTTATCAAGATGATGTTTGGACTGATCATGCAGCTGCAAACATGAACTCCCAACTTCATCACAAGAACTTGAAATTGATGAATAATTATTAGTTGTGGTATTGAATGCCAACAACATTTCTTGAGCTTTGTTTAGTTCCTCCTTAAGCCTCTCAACTTCCAATTTTAACCTATCATTATCAGACATGGCATTATCTAATCTTTGTTGCAAGGCCTTGTAATCAACCTCGAGGCTCTGGCTTTTCCATCGTGCTCGCTTGTTCTGATACCATATTGCAACTTGCCTTGGTGGCAATCCCAGTTCCTGAGCGAGCTGGGATTTTCTATCGGAGTCAAGCTTGTTGTTGGAGTTGAAGCTAATCTCCAAGAGCCTTACTTGATCTTGAGTGAGCCTTTTCTTGTGACACTTGAGATTGTTCTTCCGAGTTTGAGAATTGAAGAAATCCATTATGATTAATAAGAAGTTTATGAAAAATGCTAGAATTTGGGAGTCATATAAGAAGGAGAGAATGATTAGGTTTGGATCCCATATATATATATAGGAGTATTTCAATTTCATAACTAATTAAAAGTTAGGGGAAGCGAAGAAAGTTGGGCAAGATATCGTTTTCATGCATACACGAGGTTATCACGTGGGTGTGGCCTACTTATGATAGTACACTGACATTAAATCTTTTATCAATTTAAAATTATACGTATGATACTTTTAAATCTGTAATTAGTAAGCTTTGGTTTGGTTTATAGTGTCTTATTGAAAATGTCTAACTTCAAAGTCTTTAAGTAGAAAACATGATTGAAGATTTATTATCTTAGGTGTCCACCTTGTAATTGCTAAATAAAATAATAATGATTTTCAAGATTGCATATCATTGTGTTTCTAGAATATTCTTATATAGAGAAATCTCAAGCCACATAAGTGGTTATAAATTAAAGGAAACAAAGAAAAGCAACATTACAAGCCATAAACACTTAAAAACCATAGACTCAAGAACCATAGACAAACATGGGAAGTATACGTTTGCTGACCAACTTCAATGATTTCAAAAAAATTAAAAATACAAAAGAGAAGCATGCAAAAGCCAAACAACTTGGTTCTTATTTGACTTCCTCATACACATAGTAATATCCTTCATAAAGTGAGAACTTAATGAAAATCATGTGGTAGTAGTAACTATATACGACTAGACAATTGGAACGTCCTAGTTGCACAAGGTGCTAACACTAGAGATAATAGAAGAGTTAACCATTAAAGCTAAATATAGTGAAGATTTTAAGTTAGTGGATAATATTTAGCTGTACATAATTAATACTGTTACTCCTTTGAACACTGATTAAGCCCTGTCTTGAAGACTTTGATCCTCCTTTAAATCAGCTATAAGGACATGTTAACTACCCATTCAAACTAGGCCAGACCCACAAACCCTCTCTGCCCCAACACCAAGCATTAAGGAAAAGGATAAGGAATGATAAAATACATATTAATGACTATCAGAAACTTATAATAAGACCTTGAATATGATAAGAGTCTACTCTTAACATTCTTGATATCTTTTTATGACACAGTGAGTTTCAGTTATATAGACTAACATGTAAAGAATTTTTACGTTAACATTGAAATTTAATCAGTTATACATAGCAGATTATTATTCTATTTTTCTGCTAGTACTGTATTAGGTAGATATGAAAAGTTTTAGTTGTTCGACTTAATTTGAAGTATCGGTGTACAGAACATATATACTCTCCTCTAATTTGGAATTTTATGAAATTCTGCATAGGTTAGCAATATGTTTTTCTTTTTTAATATGTCAAATGTACCTTAGAAGTTGCATAAAGAAAATGTTAGAAGGCTACGTACGGCTGTTGATAAAAACATATCCTATTTTGGGTAGGGCAAATTACTATTTCCAATGCTTGATTGATATCGCACTTGAAAAAAATGTCGTTTGGAAGGAGGGCAATATTAGCCCCACTTCACAATGGTTGATAAATTGGCCTATTTGTATACTTAATTTTCACCTGTACCAGTGGGGTACTATATTTTGGCATTTTTCATGACAACATGTTATTTTAAAAAAGAATTTAACTTTTAAAAATTCACTATAAGTCATCTAGAGATCATAATAAATAAAATTAGTGACCTAAAAAGTAAAGCATGTGACATGCTCCAACTAGTTAAGTTATACGAATAACTTAAATTTTTTAACATTATCAGTTACGTTAAATTAAATCCTTTTAAAAAATCCATTTTCTAGGAATTTTGAAGCTTTGCACGTATACAATCATGAGTAATTGGCTTTTTCGGGAAAGTGCATGAACATTGAAACGCTATACATTCATTCCCCTTCTCACAGCTTGACCTATTTTTGAATTCAAAGTATTAATTAGAACTAACATTGTATGTAGGGACATAAAAAAGAGAGTAGGCAATATTGATCAGGAGAGAGGACCCTGTTGCGAAGAAGAAACCCTATCTTAATTGTGACATTCATGGATCTTCGTCTACAGATAAAGAAGAAGATGAAATAAAGAAGAAAAAGAAAACCTAGCAGAGATGGTCTGTTCAGACCAAAGTGTTTTCGATATAACCTAAGTCACATAGGTTATATCTTTTTGGTCGACTTGTTTGGAGGTGTGGAGAAGGGAAGATCTTTGGATCACACAAGACCAATTCTTGATTGATTAAATAGAGACCTTCAGATTATATTTATACTAGAAGCTTCCCTCACGTGAATAACATGTGAGGGAATATAATTTAGTTGGTGGAAAGAATATTTTGGTTATTAGTGGGCAAATTAGAATAGGACAAGTGTACAGATTTTTCTCCTCTTGTTATTTTTTTTATTCTTTAGCAATTGTATATAAACATGTACATGAATCTGATGAAATATACAGAGAATTTCACAATCTATTCTTCAAGTTCTTTCATGGTATCAGAGCAGCTAGCTCGATCCAACACTTCAAATATCTAAATCTATTCTTTACATCAAATCATCTTCACTAGACTAAAATAGGTGACACAGCCATCACTGCAGAAACCAGCAATGTAGCAAAGGTAGTAAGCTATGATATCAATGACCCATATCATCGTAACAGTTCTGATTCTCCTGGGATGGCTCTAGTCAACACCTTGTTTGATGGAAGAGGATATCCAGGATAGAGGAGATCCATCTTGTTGTCTCTAACGACTAAGAAGAAACTTGTCTTCATCAATGGAGCATGCCAATCTCCAGATCTAAATTCTCCAGATCATGAACAATGGAGCTGTGTCAATGACATGGTGATATCTTGGATTCTGAATGCTCTTTCTAAAGATATTGCAGACAGTGTGATATACTCTAAGACTGAAAATGAGCTTTGGGACAGCTTGGAGCAGAGATTTGGAAGGTCAAATGGAGCCAAGCTCTATCATCTGCAAAAAGAGCTATCAGGATTAGTGCAGGGAAATAATGATATTGCGGGATATTTCACTAAACTCAAACGACTGTGGGATGAATTGGATGCATTAAATGTTGTCATATGTTGCTCATGTGTCTGTACTTGTGAAGGAAAAGTAAAATTAACTAAGTCGCTTGAGGATCAGAGGCTGATTCAATTCCTAATGGGACTAAATGACATCTATGCACAAGCAAGAGGAAACATACTCATGATGAATCCCTTGCCTAGCATAGATGTTGCCTATTCTCTTATCTTGCAAGATGAAAATCAAAGAGAAGTATATGCAAATGCGAGTTTCAACTCTGATTCTGTTTCATTCATGGCAGCTGGAGAAACCAAACAACCTAATGCCCAACTTTTAGCTGACTTTGCAGCTTTCATGGTCATAGGGCAGGGGAGAAATTTTCAGAAAAACAGAAACCAAGAACAAAGAGGAGCAATATTGGGACAAAAATACAATAATTCAGGACAGAAGTTCACTAACAAGAGCAGAAGTTTAAGGGAAAGAAGAGGTACAATCCAAATGTATCATGTACCTATTGTGGAAAAACAGGGCACGCACAAGAAGACTGCTACAGAATCATTGGATTTCCAGATGATTTTGAGTTTACCAATCAAAAGAACTATCAAAATCAGATCAAGGGAAATGCAGTCTTAGCACATGAGGATCATGAGACTCAGGGAGGACAAAATGCTGAAAACAACAACAATTTTGGGCAACAACTCAACAAGGAAAAAGTTGCAGAAATGATAAACATGTATAAGCAGGCAAAGCTTGCACAAGCAGGAAATTCAGGAATCAATGCCAATTCAGTTGCTGGTACTATTCTAAAATACTCAGGTTCAGTATTTACCACTCTAAATTCAGACACCTAGATCATTTATTCAGGTGCTTCAGAGCATATGTGTTTTGATCCTAACTCCTTCTTATTTCTAACTCAACTTTCTGTGCCTTTGAACATCAATTTACCTAATTCTTTCAAGGTAATTGTTACTCATATAAGAAGTGTTTCTATTCTACTAGGTCATGTTCTGAACAATGTCTTACATGTTCCAGATTTCAAATACAACTTGTTGTCAGTTCATAGGTTTTGCATTCAGTTCAAATATGATATTTTATTCACATCTATTGGGTGTGTGTTGCAGGGCCTTTCAATGAAGAGTCCACAAGCTTTTGGTGAAGTTAGAGAGGGACTCTACATTTTGGAACCCAGTAGTCTTAAGTCTAAGGGTCTGTTCAGTAGTAATGTATCTTCAATTCAAAAAGGAAGAAATTCCACTTTAGAGTCTATGTCCTTTTCTAGTCCTGTTTATGTTAATGCTATTCCTGATGTTAAACTTTGGCATGTAAGGTTGGGACATCTCCCATTTTTAGTAATAAAACATTTAGATTTCCTTCATTATGAATCAACTTCTAATTTTATTTGTGATGTTTGTCCTAAAGCTAGGCAGACAAGGAATCCTTTCCCTGTCAGCACCATTAAGTCCAAACATATTTTTGATCTCATATATATAGACATATGGGGACTTTACAAGTCAAATACTTATAATGGGTTCAGATATTTCCTTACTATAGTGGATGACTATAGTAGAGGAACATGGACATTTTTTGCTATCCTCTAAGAGCAATGCATTTCTTATGCTCAAATTTTTCTTGTCTATGGTTGAAAGACAGTTCAATGTGAAAGTAAGAATGATAAGATCTGACAATGCACTAGAATTAGGGAAAGGAACACAAGAAGCAACTTTTCTGGCTTTAGAAGGAATTCTGCACCAGTTGTCTTGTATAGCAACACCTCAACAGAATATTGTTGAGAGGAAACATAGACATCTCTTAGAAATTGATAGAGGTCTAATGTTTCAATCAAGGATGCCTATGTGTTATTGGGGAGAATCTATTCTGACTGCCACACACATTCTTAATAGGTTACCTTCCAGTGTCCTTCAAGGAAAAACACCATCTGAGATTCTATTTCAGCACAAACCCAAGTATGACTATTTGAAAATTTTTGGATGCCTATGCTATGCTTCTATATTGGCACAAGGAATAGGAAATTTTGATGAGAGGGCAACATCCTGTGTTTTACTTGGTTACCTTCTTCAACAAAAGGGATACAAACTACTGGAGTTGTCCACAAGGAAAGTATTTGTGTCTAGAGATGTAACATTTCATGAATCACACTTCCCATTTGCGGAAATCAACATAGCACACCATACTATTTTTCCTTCTTCAACTTTCACCACAGAACCTACCTTTCAGCCACATCACTAGATCAAACACAGTCTACTTTCTCAAATCATGAAACAACAAGTGTTTTATCACCACAACCATCAACCCCTTCTTATACTCCTCATCATCACTCAGCCTCCCCTAGCAAAACTCCAGTCTCTCCTAGCCTAGAGTCATCACACACTAGCACACCTATTCATATACCTCAAGAACTTATTCCATTTAGGAGGTCAGGAAGAGTATCTACTCAACCACTTTACTTGAAAGATTTTGTATGTAGTAGCATCATCTTCACAGATGTAGCTACAACCTGTTTCACTCAACCCTGTCAACCTAAAGAATGTTTTTTTCATCTCTCTCACCCAATAACCAACATGTAATGCAATCCCTTTCTACCCTAACAGAACCTTCCACTTTTAACCAAGCCTGCCAACATCCAATATGGATAAAAGCTATGAATGCAGAAATTAAAGCTCTAGAGGACAACCCAACTTGGGATGCGGTTGAGTTACCTAAAGGAAAAAGAGCTTTACCTTGTAAATGGTATACAAGGTGAAGCACTTATCAGATGGAATAATTGAAAGATTGAAGGCAAGGTTAGTACTCAGGGGGGTATTCAGAGAGAAGGCATAGATTACAGTGAGACCTTCTCACTAGTGGTAAAGATGACAACCATAAGGTGTCCACTCACTGTTGCAGCCAAGAAAAATTGGAATGTTTCTCAATTAGATGCCAACAATGCATTTTTGTATGGAGACCTACAAGAAGAGGTATACATGAAATTCCCAGCAGGATTGGATCTCTTTCTTTTGCTGTACTTACCCTCAGCCAATACATGCAGAAGTCGTGTCTTTCTCACTTCTCTGCTGCTTTATGAGTCCTCAAATACCTCAGCTCTGATCCAGGCCAAGGTATTCTCCTTTCTGCTAAGCCATCATTTTCCTTACTTGCATTTTGCGATGCTGATTGGGCTTCCTGCAAAGATTCACGAAGGTCTGTTAGTGGATTCTTCATCACTCTAGGAGGTGCACCTATCTCCTGGAAATTGAAGAATCAAGTCTCAATTTCTTTATCATTTGCAGAAGCAGAATATAGGTCAATGAGAAGGGTTACTGCCGAGCTTACCTGGTTAGTACGAATTCTTGAAGATCTATCTACACCAGTCACTCTACTGATTCCTCTTTATTCTGATAGCAAAGTAGAAATACATATCGCCCGAAATCCTATTTTTCATGAACGCACAAAGCATGTGGAAATTGATTGTCACTTTGTGCGTCAACAGTTTCTTTCGGGGTTAATCACTCTCTCTTTTGTTCCCTCCAAAGCTCAACTCGCCGACATCTTCACCAAGCCTCTTTCTGGGGTTTCTTATCGAGAGATTTTGGGCAACTTAGGCATCACCAGGCTCCCCTCCAACTTGAGGTGGGATGTTTCGAAGAAGAAACCCTATCTTAATTGTGACATTCATGGATCTTCGTCTACGGATAAAGAAGAAGATGAAATAAAGAAGAAAAAGAAGACCTAGCAGAGATGGTATGTTCAGACCAAAGTGTTTTCGATATAACCTAAGTCACATAGGTTATATCTTTTTGGTCGACTTGTTTGGACACGTGGAGAAGAGATGTAATGACCGGGCCGGTCGTTTTATGAATTTCAGCCCCCTTTTCCCCATTTCTGCTTCTTTATGTCTGGTTCAGCAGTATTATGTGGTATCGGGTTTGTTGGTTTGAGTTCGGAGTGGTTTTGTGGAGGAATGAGACACTTAGTCTCTTAAGTTGGCCATTTAGTTGGAAAAAGTCAATCGGAAGTTGACTTGTGAGTAAATGATCTCGGAACTTGGTTTTTATGATTTGGATAGATTCGTTAGGTGATTTGGGACTTAGGAGCGTGATTAGAATGTATTTGGAGGTCTGTGGTAGATTTAGGCTTGAATTGGCGAAATTTGAATTTTGGAGCTTTCCGATTGGTAGTAGAAATTTAGATATCGGGGTCGGAATGGAATTCTGGAAGTTGTAGTAGGTCCGTTGTGTCATTTGTGACGTGTGTGCAAAATTTTAGGTCATTCGGATGAGGTTTGGTAGACTTTTTGATCGTTTGCGGATTCGGAAGTTTTGGAATCCTTAGGCTTGAATCCGAGGATGATTTGGTGTTTCGGTGTTGATTTGAGTGTTCCGAAGATTGGTATAAGTTTTAATAGTTGTATATGACTTGTTCGTACCTTTGGTTGAAGTCCCGGAGGCCTCGGGATGATTTCGGATGGTTGACGGGAAGTTTGGAAGTTTGGTTGAGCAGCTTCAGCTGCTGAGTTTCTATCATAACCGCACCTGCGGATTGGGGACCGCAGGGGGGAGCCGCAGAAGCGGCGTATTGAGCGCAGAAGCGAAGGTCAATTGTTGGGCGAGCATCGCAGATGCAGAAGGAATGTCGCATCTGCGAGCCCGCAGATGCGGAGATTGGGACGCGGGTGCGGTAAGGGAAATTAAATGAAAAACTGCAGAAGCGGTTGGTTAGTCGCAGAAGCAGTTCCGCAGGTGCGGGAAATGGACCGCAGGTGCGGTATCGCTAGGTAGAACATATAAATAGATGCCTTCGTGAAATTTTGCCAAGTTCCATCATTTTTGAAGACGGGAAGAGAGATAGGGCTGTGATTTTTCAAGGAAAATGAAGGGTTTCAGTTGGGTAAGCTTCTTAAGCCTTATTATTTGTGTTTATGGCCATTTTTCCATTGTTTAATCATGGTATTAGTGGAAAATTAAGGAAGAAAGTTGGGAGATTAGGGCTTGGAATTTGGAGACTTTGATTTAGGGGTTGAAGGGTCGTTTGTGGTCGGATTTTGGTGTATTTGGTATGTATGAACTCGTGAGAGTGTAAGGATTTTAGTTTTGTGAATTTTATCGGAATTCGAGACATGGGCCCGGGGGTTGAGTTTGACCAATTTCGGGATTTGTGATGTAATTTGATTATTTTCGCGTGGGCTTTGTTCCCTTAGGACATACTAATGTTATGGTTCTGATTTTGGTTAGATTCGGGGCATTTGGAGGCCGAATCGAGAGGCAAGGGCGTCGCAGGCTAGAGTTTGGCTTGGCTTGAGGTAAGTAATGCTTCCAAACTTGGTTCTAAGGGTTCGAAACCCCGAACTATGTGTTCTATGATTACTATTGAGGTGACACAAATGCCAAGTGACGAGCTTGTGGGCGTGCACCGTGAGAATTGCGGCCTGGATCATTACATGGCACCCCTTAGTGACTCTTTCTTGCTGATATCTGTTTGTAATTATGTGATTAAGTTAATGAGCTGCAAATCATGCTAATTATCATGTTAAGGCTTCACGCCAATACTGTTGAGACCCGAGAGGTCGTTTCTTGTTGTCATATCATTTGCTTCATTGATATTCTGTACTCAGTCCTGTTCATACATATTATATCATGCCTTAGTCTCGATTATTGTTATTTGGCATATCATATCATTGTTCGGGCTAGTATCATGACATTTTGATCCCGTGTGTGTGAGACTGGAGAGTGGTGACTAAGTGAGGCCGAGAGCCTGATATTGAGTGACAATATGGGATCGGGCTGCATGCCGCAGCGAGACATTGAACATGCCTTCGTTGGCTTTTTTATAGCTATACCTGTCTAACGGGCCGGGTCAGCCCATTTCCGGCCCGGCCCATACCGATTTAAACCGGAATCGGCCCGGACCGGTACAAGGGGGTCGGGTGGGGCTGGGTTATAGGGGTAGGGGGTTTGTTCCGTTCACATTTGAACCACCGGTTAACCGGACCGGTCAAACTCGATCAACGAATAACACTGTTCATCCGGTTAACCGGCCCGGCCCGAACCGACCGAGACCGGTATAACGGTAACAATTATTTTTTTTAAAGCTTGAGCCTTTTCTGACCGTTGGCAACGGTCCATTTCACATTATGGCCGTTGCCTAACGGCTGAAACTTACATTTAGCCCAATTTTTGGGTTTTTTTTTTTAAATTAACCCCCTTTGAAAAACTATAAATACTCCCCTCCCCTCTTCCTCATTTCTTCACTCATCTCTCAATTCTCAATCTCAATTCTCATATTCTCTCATTCTTCAATCTTCACTTAAAGTGCAATCAACTATTTGGCTCTTCTTTTTTTTTTTTTTGGAATTTAATTTATCGCAGTATTTATTATTTGAAGTTTGAACAATTGAACTTCAAAATTGGAACAATTGACGTTTCTTCGTGGTAACATTGGAGTTGCGAAATCATCAAGTGCTCAATTTATTGTCGAATTCGGTGCACTCCCTCCAACTCTTTCTCTTATTTACTATTTTATTTGCATATTTAATTGTTGCTAGTAGTTAAATTTTTAAAATATGTTGAATGCTGCAAAAAGAATTTGTAATAAGGTTACTAATCTGGAAAATAAAAAAAAAGAGGCAGTACTTCAGCATCCGGTAGTAATTTAAATACCTCTACAAATATTCCTGAAATATTACCTGATAATAATATAGATTATGAACAATTGCAGGAAGATTTCGGTATAGAAGATAATGAATTAGAAATGGAAGATGAGATACCACTTACACCTAGTAGTGTTGGAGCTGGTAGCAGGGGTGGTGGTCGTGGTGCTAGTAGTAGACCACCTGTGGCCCCGACTAGTAATCGTAGAAAAAGAAGTAAGGTTTGGAAATTTTTTGAAGACATACCGAATAGTGATAGAGTTAAATGCAAACTTTGTAATGATACTTTTAAACATAAGACTGGAGGACAATTAGGGGAGACTGGGACACTTAGTAGACATATGAGAATTGAGCATCCTATAGAATGGGCTCTGATGGAGATGGAAATCAAACAACTCTAAACCCTACTACTGGAGGTCTTATGAAATATGATAAAATGAAGGATCGTGAAGAGTTAGCAAAAATGATTGCTTTGGGTTGTCTACCTTTTTCTTTTGCTTCTTCATCATATCTTATTATGTATATTCAAAGGATTTACAATCCTTTATTTAAAGGTATCCCTAGAAGTACTTGTAGAGCTGATATCTTTAGACTTCATGGACAA